CAAAAGGGACATTCTTCGTCAAGTGTAACCAAAAAAAGTCCAAACTTGAAATTTTTGTCATGGATTTTGTTTAAAATCTAGTATTATGTTAAGCAAACCGATCTTTTTCTATATTTCAAATTTTTTTTTGACTGGTCAAGCGGTTTTGGAATTATGACCGGTCAAACTTCTCAAATTTGTCGCAACCGGTCATTACTTGTGCCACACCTAAAATTGATATCTTCCTTCACACTCAACCTATAAAGATGGAATTGGTATCAAATGATAGCACTTGACAAGCTGAAAGTAAATTTCCAGTGAAATTGATGCTAGCCTCAAAGGCTCAAGGGCTGAGGTACAATGTTATTTTTCAATGGCTGACCACGCCCAAATGGCAACGCCAATTTTCATGAAAATTTTATTTCATTAAGATAAATTCATGATAAAGCACTTCATAAAATATAAAATTGGGGTTGGCATGGGTTTTATCACAATCAGTCTCAGAATACTGATGAGTATTATCTTGAAAGGTTAAAAGTCAATGTAAGTCTTCATGCAATGCATACAAGCGGTAGTTTGATTTTAATAACAAGTGTCATGTTCATTGCAGTTAGAGAGAATTTTTGTTTCAGAAAATTATTCCATCTGTAATCTGTTTTGTAAAGACATGCTTGCTGCTTGTGATTCCCCTTTTGATAATGTGTAGGTGCGACCTGTAAAAGTGACCGGATTAAGTTGCACAAGTACGTCTGAGACATCAACAACAAGCTCTTCAGAAGGTTCTGGATACACAAATGAAGGGTTTGGGCCATGGGGATGCAGGAAGCTTATTGTCACTTCATTGGCTTCTGGTTGAATGCTGGAAACATATGCCACCCACCACTTGCTGTCATAAACTACAGCAACATAGCCTGTAATCTTACTGAGCTCAATATGACCACAGCCTGCTTTGACTACTTGAACTTCCCTTGTCACTTCACTTTCACTGTATTCTGAGACAAGAAGAGAATATTTTGAAATTGGTTTGAAACAATGTAATTTTTGTGTTCCAGCAATCGTTTTAGCAGTCTGAAATCTTTCATGAAGAATTTCTTCTTCTGAATACCAGTCGGCAGCAGTGAGAAATTTTGCATTGATGCCTTTAAGATGGGAATCAACAAACTCAAACAGCTTCAGAGCTGACAAAATTTGATCACGGTAAGGTCGCTGCAGACTTGCTTTGGTTGCTTCTCTTTTGATAGTGCCTCCAATGCCATCTGAAGGCCCCTTGCCATGGCTTGTTGCAAAAAAATGCCATTCAGCCGGCACACCAAAATCATATTGATGCATGCACAGGTTACAAAAATTCTTGAGGTTTTTGTATTGGCCTGCACAGCCATCAGAAAAATAGATAATTGCTTTCAGCACCTGAAACTTTTCTGAAAGATGTCTCATCAATTCTTTCTGGAAAAGGTGGACTGCAACAGTGTCGTGAGTATGGCAATCTGATATTAGTACAAAGTTGCTGTGGTTGATTTGTCCATCCTCTTTGAAATAATAAACAAATGGATGCAGTGTTGCCATGCTGTTATTCCAGTGGAATGATTGTGCTTCATCTTGGACAACAAAAGAAAAGTTTTCTGAAAAGTCACCTATCACAAGAAATTCTCCTTCTACTAGACCTTCCTTTCGTTTGCAAAGATACTGAGATTGCTGTTTTGCAATGAAATCATGTCGCTTAAGAGTGTCAAGTTTCTCAATAAATGCTTCCACAAAATCTTCTATTGGCTCTACCATAGTCTCTAGTTTTGAGCGATCAGTAGATGTCCATTGCTTAAACTCTACTTCATCGACATCGTTATCTTCGTAGCATTTTAAAAGCATCTCTCGCAGGGGCTGTTTACCAGGGCAGTATGGGCACTCACCAAGATGACAGTTTGGTACTGCGGGATTACACATCATCTTAGCCAATGCGTGTCCATAATGACTAACAGGAACTACTTCATTGGCTGTCACAGACGCCATCATGGATCCGTTCATCATCAATTTTACATTGTTATGGATTGTACAAACGCAGACAGAATGAGTGCCACTTGCTCCAGCTAAAACACATTCTTTAGGTCGAACCATTGCAAACTTTGAGAAGCTTATCTTCATTGATGGATGTTGGGATTTGAATGTTTGATAAATTTCCCGAAGATTTCCTAAAACTAGTCTTTTTTGAAACAGAGTCTTCTTGCCGTCTCGAAGAATACTTAAACAGTCCTTTTTTCCAGGCATAACTCTGCTGATATCATCTTGCCGATAGAAGTTTTCTACAGCCTCTGAAACATTCTCTGGCAACTTTTTTCCAGTTTTTGGATTTGGGGTAGCAAGGATGCCTTTTTCCAATGATAAATGCATTGCTTGTGTAGCCATTCTTTGAGAGCAGCCAAAGGTGGCCATTATTTTCCTACGACTCCATGTTTGCACAAAAATAGTCAGAACTGTTATCTTTTCACTTCTACTTTCAGTGCTGCGAAATTTTGCAATTAGTTTTTGCACAATTTCTGCTGGCATTCCATCTTCCTCATCTGAAGAAACATCCATAATCAACGATGGAGAGGAGCCACATGCAGCATCAAATTTTCTTTCAAGGGTGTCATGCACTCTCTTCTTTTTTTGAGGAAGGTAGCGGGATCTTGACATTATTTTTCTTTGACTCAGAGGGTTTTCTCCAATTTTCCCTAAAGTTTCATTTAGGCTTTCAAATTCAATTTCAGGCGGAACAAAGTCATCCTCCTCTTCAGAGAGCAGATTCTCGAGTGGCGGCTCTACTCCAACCACTCTTTGTAGCTGTTTTCTACAGTTAGTGCATATTTTCATTCCAACTTGAACCAAAGATGGATTGCACTTCGCTTGCTCTGCAGTTACGAGTCTCAAATCTTTTGTTCTTTTGGTTTTATGCACTTGGAATGGGTCACAGCAATATTTTCGGTTGTTTTGTATACTTGTCAGTTTTGAAAGTTGTTCTGCCATCTTAAATCTCGTAAACTAGAAAACTGCCTTTTCAGTAATGTACTAAATGCTTTCACCAAAGTCTGAAGTCTGTTTGAAGTTTCTAAAGCACATTTCTTACATTGGTTTTTTATTTACTGTTTCCTTGTAATAGACAGGTGCTATTGAAGAGGACTTCCTGGTTTGACAATTACAGGATACGAACAGCCAATTTCAGAAATTATTTAAAATTGATGGGAATTCTTAAATCATAAAGTTAAATAACATGTCTAGACTAACTTTCACTAACATGACATTAATGGAAAGTTGTCATTTCCTGAATTAGCAGGAGGTTTCCATTCAATGGTGTTTTTGGCTATGAAAAAAAGCTTTTTTCTTTCAGCGATGGCTTGTCATGTTGATGCATAAGGCTTAACTTTATTTTTATACTCCACACATGCACTGATGTAATATTCATCTATAACAGAACAATGTCATAAAGTACAACAATGTCATAGTAGGTCATGCTTATGCAGGATACAGATCTAATAAAGACTTGTCAGTATTCTGAGACTGATTGTGATAAAACCCATGCCCACCCCATCTTTAAATTTAATGAGGTGCTCTATCATGAACTTATCTTATTGAAAAAAATTTTTCATGAAAATTGGCGTTGCCATTTGGGCGTGGTCAGCCATTGAAAAATAACATTTTACCTCAGCCCTTGAGCCTTTGAGGCTAGCATCAATTTCACTGGAAATTAAGTTTCAACTTGACAAGTGCTTTCATTTGACACCAATTCCATCTTTATAGGTTGAGTGTGAAGGAAGATATCAATTTTAGGTGTGGCACAAGTATGTGTAAAATAAAAACTGCTTATAATTAACCGCGGGGAAGGAGCGAGCGCGTGGGGGTGAGGAGCTTCAGAGACATGACTTTTACTATTCAAAAAAGCGAGTGTGCGACGAGAGTATATAACCAGTTCGTTATTGTTTTGTTACCTTGAAAGAAATATATAACTTCTATTTCGAGTTATTTGTGAGTTTATCGCCTTACAACATTCTAAGTTCGCGATACAGTGGCACCACCCAGATGGGAGAAAGTGAGAAGTGAGTGAAATTTCATAATAAGTGAGACTGTGAATTCAAGATGGCCGTCGTGGAAGAGTTTGTCAAGAAAATCGACAAAAAGCTTGGATTTTTATCGTATCTGAACGAAGAAACTGACGAAATTATGCAGAGAAAGGATCAAAAGGAAATCGAGAGACAGTCTAGAGTATACGAAACGAAAGTGGACGAAATTCAGGAGCTGAAAATTCAAATACAAGAATTGAAACTAGAGGAAGGGGAAATCCCCAGTGAAGTAAAGAAATGGAGAATCGGAATCGAGGAAAGACTGAAGGAGTTTCAGCCCATAGCTGCAGGTATGAAAGAAATTATTGAAAGTTTTAAACATGATGTAAAAAAGAAAGAGCAAGACTTAGATTTAGAGCTAGAAAGACAAAAATTTGAGCAAAGATTACAACTAGAGGCAAAATTAGTTGAATTGAAGGGGAGATCCCTCGTGGGGGAAAAGCCTGTAACCGCAGTGAAGCTTCCAAAGCTAAGTATCACCAAATTTAAAGGAACACATATAGACTGGTTCCGCTTTTGGAATCAGTTCGAGACTGAAGTCGATAAGCAAAACCTAGACCCTGTCACTAAGTTTAATTACTTGAAAGAATTCATAGAGCCAAAAGTACGTATAAACATTGAGAATTTGATCCACAATGGTGAGGGCTACGAGAGGGCTAAACAAATATTGAAGTCTAAATATGGCAGGCCAAGTGAAGTTATAAATGCACATGTACAGTGTATTATTGAGTTACCAGTGATAAGGGGGTCAAACCCACACAAAATCCATGATTTTTTCAACAAGTTGTTGCCAAGTGTACAAGCACTTGAATCATTAGGGAGACTGAAATCAATTTCAGGTTACACAAGGCTCACATTGGATAAGCTAGAAGGGATACGAGCTGACTTGGTGAGATTAGATGACCAATGGCAAGAATGGGGATTCCCGCAGCTAATTGAAGCCTTGAGTAAATGGACTGAAAGGAACCCCCTTACACAGTCTGAGGGGAGGGACAGGATGTTTACCACAAGGAATTCCAATTATCTACCAAGATCATGTGTATACTGCGAGCATGAAAACCACAAATCTTCAGAGTGCAAAAAGGTTGTAAAAGTGAGCGAGAGAAGAGAAATTTTAAGGCAAAAAAGATTGTGTTTTAATTGTACAAGCAGTGGACACAAAGCATCAGTCTGTACAAGCAAAGGAAGTTGCCGAAATTGTAGGGGAAAGCACCACACTTCAGTTTGCGACAAAGTTGAGAAACAGGGAGATGTTCTTCTGGTTACTGGGGAACAAGGTGTGGTGCACCCAGTTGTTATAGTGAAGGTAGAAGGAGTGCTCTGTCGAGCCCTGTTGGATACAGGGGCTGGCAGCTCTTATGTATCATCACAGTTATTGAGAAAGTCGCCAAGCAGCCAATCAAGAGAGAACAACGCCAGATAGACATGATGATGTCCACCAAGATAGCAAAGATCGAAATCTATAATCTGAGGGTGGAGAGCAAAGACCAGAGTTTCAGTCTAAACTTAGATGTGAGCAAAGTGAACAGGAAGGAGCTTTTGACAGTGCCTAACCCAAACTATGGAGAAATGACTAAGAAATTTTCACACCTTAAAGGTGTGTATATGGAAGAAAGATCAGACAAAGAAGCGTTACCAATACATCTTATCATAGGAGCTAGTGACTATGCAAAGATAAAAACTCCAACAAAGCCTAGAGTAGGGAAGCCAGGGGAGCCAGTGGCAGAGCTTACAGGGTTCGGATGGACTATAATGTCACCTGGATACGAGATAGAATCAAATAACATGTTTTTCGCAAAGTCAGCACTTGCCGATTTTGATAGATTATGTTCACTAGATGTCCTAGGCATACAGGACAAAGCAGAGAAAGACATAGTTATCCAAGATTTCAAAGATCAGTTGGAAAGGAGCCCAGAAGGTTGGTACAGGACCGGTCTTCTTTGGAAATCAGAGATCCCAGACCTGCCAGACAATGAACAAGGAAGCAAGTCAAGATTGAAAAGGCTCGTGCAAAGGTTAGAAAGACAGCCAGAGCTTTATGATAAGTATGAAGAAATACTACTGCAACAGGAGCAAGAAGGAATTATAGAGAAAGTTACCTGTCAGAGCAAAGAAGGAAGAAAGTTTTATTTACCACACCGAGCCATAGTAAGAGAGTCAGCAGAGTCGACCAAAGTAAGAATTGTATTCGATGCATCTGCAAGAGCAAACGATCAATCACCATCACTCAACGATTGCCTCGAAACAGGCCCCCCATTGCAAAACCTGATCTGGGACATTTTGGCGCGAAACAGATTGCAACCCATCACACTATGCGCAGATATGAAACAAGCTTTCCTACAAATAAGAATTAAAGAGCAGGACAGAGATGTGTTAAGGTTCCATTGGTTGAAAGACAGAGATTTAGAGAAACTTGAAGTCTATCGATTCACTCGAGTAATGTTTGGATGCAGCCAATCGCCATTTTTGCTTTGTGCTACCGTAAAGAAACATCTTGAAGAATGTAGAGCAGAGTTTCCTGAGGAAGTCTCAGAAATTGAAAGAAGCATCTACGTCGATGACCTTCTGCTAGGTGGGTCATCCATCACAGAGGTACAGAAATTGAAAGAGTCAGCCATAGAAATATTCGACAGTGCAAAGTTTACATTGCACAAATTGCACTCAAACAGAAAAGAGTTAGAGACAGATGATGGTGATCAAGAAGAAATAGATGAGAGTTTTGCCAAACAGCAGCTGGGAACAAAGGCCAAAGAGTCCAAACTATTAGGGCTTACATGGGACAAACAGAAGGATACCATTGCAGTCTCAATAAAGAAAGAGAAAGGAAGAGGATCAACAAAGAGAGAATTATTGCAACATCTGGCTTCAATATATGACCCACTGGGAATTATTTCACCAATTACCCTAGTTGGAAAGATCATTTTCAGAGATGCATGTAAACAAGGTGTCAAATGGGATGAAGGACTACCAAAAGACCTCAATGAAAGATTCGTGCAGTGGAGTAAAAATTTGC